GACTACTTAACAACATCCTAACATCCACCCAGAACACATAGAGACCACTTAACAACACCCTAACATCCACCCAGAACACCTAGAGACCAATTAACAACACCTTAACATCCACCCAGAACAACTAGAGACCACTTAACAACACCCTAACATCCACCCAGAACACCTAGAGACCACTTAACAACACCCTAACATCCACCCAGAACACCTAGAGACCACTTAACAACACCCTAACATCCACCCAGAACACCTAGAGACCACTTAACAACACCCTAACATCCACCCAGAACACCTAGAGACCACTTAACAACACCCTAACATCCACCCAGAACACCTAGAGACCACTTAACAACACCCTAACATCCACCCAGAACACCTAGAGACCACTTAACAACACCCTAACATCCACCCAGAACACCTAGAGACCACTTAACAACACCCTAACATCCACCCAGAACACCTAGAGACCACTTAACAACACCCTAACATCCACCCAGAACACCTAGAGACCACTTAACAACACCCTAACATCCACCCAGAACACCTAGAGACCACTTAACAACACCCTAACATCCACCCAGAACACCTAGAGACCACTTAACAACACCCTAACATCCACCCAGAACACCTAGAGACCACTTAACAACACCCTAACATCCACCCAGAACACCTAGAGACCACTTAACAACACCCTAACATCCACCCAGAACACCTAGAGACCACTTAACAACACCCTAACATCCACCCAGAACACCTAGAGACCACTTAACAACACCCTAACATCCACCCAGAACACCTAGAGACCACTTAACAACACCCTAACATCCACCCAGAACACCTAGAGACCACTTAACAACACCCTAACATCCACCCAGAACACCTAGAGACCACTTAACAACACCCTAACATCCACCCAGAACACCTAGAGACCACTTAACAACACCCTAACATCCACCCAGAACACCTAGAGACCACTTAACAACACCCTAACATCCACCCAGAACACCTAGAGACCACTTAACAACACCCTAACATCCACCCAGAACACCTAGAGACCACTTAACAACACCCTAACATCCACCCAGAACACCTAGAGACCACTTAACAACACCCTAACATCCACCCAGAACACCTAGAGACCACTTAACAACACCCTAACATCCACCCAGAACACCTAGAGACCACTTAACAACACCCTAACATCCACCCAGAACACCTAGAGACCACTTAACAACACCCTAACATCCACCCAGAACACCTAGAGACCACTTAACAACACCCTAACATCCCCCCAGAACACCAAGCGACCACTTAACAACACCTTAACATCCACCCAGAACACCTAGAGACCACTTAACAACACCTTAACATCCACCCAGAACACCTAGCGACTACTTAACAACATCCACCCAGAACATCTAGCGACTACTTAACAACATCCTAACATCCACCCAGAACACCTAGCATCCACTTAACAACACCTTAACATCCACCCAGAACACCTAGAGACCACTTAAGAACATCCTAACATCCACCCAGAACACCTAGAGACCACTTAACAACGTCCTAACATCCACCCAGAACACCTAGCGACCACTTAACAACATCCTAACATCCACCCAGAACACCTAGCATCCAAATAACAATATCCTAACATCCACCCAGAACACCAAGCGACCACTTAACAACACCTTAAAAACCACCCAGAACACATAGCAAGCATCTAGAACAGTCAAGCAACAAGTTAATAACACACTAACATCCACGCAGAACACCTAGCAACCATCCAGAACAGCCTAGCAACCACTTAGCAATTCCATAGCAACTACTTAGTTATGCCTTAGCAACACTGAACACCCTAGCCACCATTGTGCAATACATTAATACTCACCCAGAATACCTTAGCAACACATTTGTTTAGCATTGTTTGCACACAAAGGTCGTCCCGCTCCAAAACTATGCCACTGGCCTCCAAGCTTTCTGATTGACTAGCATGTGTCAGATTATATATTGCTGTTTACAGAGTGATTTCTCAAGATACATATTTCATGCAATATCCGTCAGGAAAAATGTATCGTTTGCAGCCACTTTATAGTTTTTAAAAGTAACGGGCCATGAACGTCTAAACTGATTTTATCTTTGCTACCTAAATAATGAGAGCGATATCAGTTTGCAGCATGTGGCCATCCAGATGGACTGGCAGTTCAGTACAGTTGCCAACAGCTGGATGATCCGAGGGCTGCCCTCAACACTACAGTGATATTCCCAGTGGATGAGAGGATGGATACAAGACAAGCCAGCAGCCGAACAGAGAGTAACTCTTCCTGTTCAGGACAGGAAAAGCTACCACTACTCAGTCTTATCACTAATAGCACAAGCGCTCCTGAGAGACCAGGGTACAGCACGGAGCGGATAATGAGAGGAAGACGCTTTTCAATCCGTGTGTAAATGAATGCCCCTCGAAAACGGAGACTCTCAGGCCACTTGAAAGAAGCTTGATTGCTCTGAAAACACAGACCGTACAAATAGCAAATCTGACTTCAGCTTCATATTAGTTCAGAAGCTACCGGGTGTCTTGCAATCATTTAAAATTTCCAGGGTTTGGTCTTCAGGGATTAGGACATGCTATCCATTGACTACTTCAGCAGAAACTGGCAGCACACATAACCAGAGCTTCTCTCTTTAAAGTTCAAAACTAAAGACTTCAACAGATTACATGTTTACTTCCCAATTTCGATGTTAAAATGGGCATATCACATAGACAAAAGCGAGCAGCCATGAGATTTTGGGGAAACAGGCGTCTACATCAGTCTGAGAGATGAATGCATCACAAGGCTGGCCACAAGGCCACTTCCTCATGGATGTGAGAAGAGGGCATTTCCTCTCAAATCTCCACCAAAGCTCTGCCATGTCCACAAAACACTCAAATCTTTGAGAAAACTCTCAATGAATGCATCTTTCAGTTTCAATGAAGAAACTTCTCGTTATTATGTCCATGACGAGGCAAAACTACATTCTTTAGAATACATATACTGCTGCATTAAAGAACCCAAAAACCAACACACCCATCTGAAGAACCTATAATGACCATTATAGTCAACTCAAGAACCCTTGAAATGGACCTTGATAAGAAGAAGCCAAGGAACCATTGAAGAACCTTTATTTTAAGAGCGTAGCAGTTATCTAATCTTATTCCACCCACCAAGAACATACACGTACCATCCCTCACCATCACTTTATCCTCCCTTTCCACTGCTTGAACCCAAAATATAACAAATCACGTCCAAGCCATTTAAAACCGCCCGAGAGTTTCATTGTCTATCATCTCGAGACATCTCTCATTTTCCCTTTTCTAAGTCATGGAACTGTTATTTGTCCCAGACTGACACAGATGCACATATGCAGTCTGACTCACTTCAACTCAGGGTGGGTCTGTTTCCAATTTTCGCACCCCTCCACCCACAAAAAGAGAAGTTACCTCCAAAAACAACAAAACAAGTGAAGAAAACTGCTTGCATGCTGCTAAAAGTTCCCCTCCTTTTAAGACGCACACCGAGGCAGCTAACAAAAGCCACTCTCCCTGAGACTCCTAAACTCTTATCAGCGCTTTCCTTCCCCTCTGCGCTAGAGCGTGGGAGCGCGGAGGAGAAAACCTGCACCCGCAAACAACAGGAGGAAGCCAGTAATCTGAGTCGAGGCGCTCCGAATGATCCCAGGGAGCGGGGGAAGAAAGACAGCCTGAGAAAGCCTGACAGGAAAGGCTCGGACGGGACCGAGATGTTACAAAACTCAGTCGAAACTAGACGAAACTTAAGGGGGAAAGGTTCTAGAGACCTGAAGCGAGCTCTTGATGATGCTCCCTGTCAAACCAAACGATAGCTGAAGAGAGGGATCTTAAAACAAGACACTTACCAGCAAGTCGAGCGTACATGCAGAGTGTCGGGCTCTACAGCGTCTCTATGTCCATAGTCAAATGTCTCACAGTGTCCAGCCAGCGCAGTCAGTGTCCGCAACAAAAGACATGAAGGAGCGAACACGGGAGGGCAGGAATGTCAAGGCTCTTAGTGAAACAGCCTCTTTCTGTATCCTCTGTTCATTCAGAGTCTACTTACACTAAGTTGGCAATGCCTCTTTGCGGGAATGACTTGTTTCAGGATTCCCCAAATGTCTGAAGCTGCAAGCACAGGAAGAAAAGGAGAGGAAAGAGAGAGAAGAGAGAGAGTGTGTGTGTGTGTGTTTGGTGCTGAAGGGAGGGCTGGGGGGTTCGGGGAGGTGGGAGGGAGCTGGCCATCTATGCCAGACAATAGCAGGAAAATGAACATCAGACGCTAAAAAGCAACAGTCCGATTATTAGAGAGTGCTAATAACAACAACAAGGAATGAAATAACAACAGAACGAATGTTGTTTTTGCACTTCTTTTGGAAGATTTAGACATTTCATCTTTTTTTAAGTGTTAAAGGAAAATTCACATTAAAATAAAAAATCTGTCATATTTTTTCACCCTTATGTCCTTCCAAACCTGTGACTGCTATGTATTTTGTGGAACATAAAAGGAGAAAGCTTGTATATTTTATGGTGATCATGTTAGTTAAACCCCCCAAAAGACAAAAATAAAATATAAAAGAAAATAAAAGAATAATAAAAAATAAATAAATAAAAGAAAAGAAAAAAATAAAAGAATACAAGAATATTCCAAAGTCTTCCAAAGTTTTTTTAGGAATATTATTAACAATTGGAACTATTAATTCTCATTCATAATTGTGTTTAGATTACAAAAAAATATATTTTTTGTATTTGTGCTGCAGTGGAGGGGAAAATTCACTGAAAAATCATTTATATTTCAGCACCATTTCAATTCATAAGCTGTGCAATATAATGTATCATCATGTTGACTATTTTTATTATACTTTATTATACTTCTGTTAGGACCACTATCGTCAAAGATGATTGACAATTAGCATACAGTTTGGATTGGTGGTATGGTTCTGTTCTGGGCAAGAACTCCCTGCGCATCCATGCAGTCTAGCATAGATGAGAGCAGGGAGAGCAGCAATATCCCCCCAGGGTAAACAGAACAGAACCAACATAAATGTATTGCAGATATTGTTAAAGTTCAATAATTTTATGTACACATTTTAGAATCAGTCTGATTCAAAGAAGAATCAGAAGGCTGAATCCTGACTGACAGAGGAGGAGCTGGGGATGGAGGAGGGTAATTAGCTATTGAGCAATGCGAAATCTGCTGATAATACTGAGGGAGCTTATATATGAATGCTTAGATAGGTGTCGTATTCCTATAGGTAGATGGGGATCAGCTGAGAGTCAGCTGATGCAAGCTTGACTAACGTGACCTGCCAGAACTAATGCTACGCTTGATTTATGGTGTTTCTGGTCATTGCCACTATAAACTGTCATTGTACGGAAAAGAGCTGAGTGGAGGTTCTTCAAAAATGATTTTTAATTCCATTGAAAAAACTAAATCATTTACAGGTTTGGAACAACATTAAGGGGAAATAAATGATGTATGTTGCTCCGTGGCTGTCTCTAAGTTGTGCTTTAAAGAAGTACACTTATTTTGATCTGTTGACTAATATACTAAAGCACATTTAAAGTATAATTTGTAAAGTACATGTAAAGAATGCTTTTAACTGTAGTGTGTTATTCAATATTATATTTAAAATAAATAGCCTATATTTAAGGTGTACTAAACTGCAACGTCATCATTACAAATATGTAATTACAAATACGTTTAAATACATTGCATACAAATTAAAAAAAAATTACCTTTCATTTTAGTTTACCATAAATGCTTGTCAGTACATTAAGCTATACATTTTAACCATATTTCAAATACAATAGAAGTAATTATGAAATTACATATAAAGATGTACTTACGTCCTACATACAGTGTCAAAAGTACTCTTGCATTTAATTTAAATGTAAACTATATTTAATTTAATTGCAAATAACATGCAGTTAAGTATCTGTTAGGTATCAGTTTTCAGTGAAGTATTTTAAGTATATAATTTCCATACTCTTTTTTAAAGATATGCAGCTATATTACATACAACTGAACAAATTCACACACAAACACACACACACACACACACACACACACACACACACACACACACACACACACACACACATCTTCAGACAAAATGTAAAGCCTGTTCACCATTTTTGGCACATACAGTAAGTGCCAAAATATTGTCCAAACCATTCATTTGTGTTTTGTGATGATATTCAGTTTGCTTTTCATGGCAAACAATTCCTTTAAATATCGTCTCTTTTTTCGTCTTTTTTAATTATAGAGATGTCATTTTGACATCAAAAAAGTTTGTGTGTACAATGTAATCCCATTGGATTTGGTGTCAATAGGTCTTTAGTCCAGCAAAAAGTTATTGTAGAGCACAAATTTAGCTCAGTTCATGTTGGTTGGATTTAGTTCACAAAATGAGACGTGAGCTAGAAATGACAGAGATTTCAACCACAATGAATTTGCATGTCTGTCTGTTTACTTCTTTGTATCTGTGTGTGTTTCTCACACACACACACACACACACACACACACACACACACACACACACACACACACACACACACACACACACACACACACACACACACACACAAAGAATAACAATAAAACCTATCTTCCCTGTAATGAGGTCTTTGGGTCAGAGCACTACACTACAAAATACTTTATTATTAGGTCTGATTGCACACACATCGGGACAAATTTCACCACTTTTAATTCAATTTCTGAGAGAAGACATTGGGACTCAACTGAAGCTTTCACAGAGCTGGACAAGAAAAAAAATGCATGATTAGAAAATGTATCACTGAAATTGTTTGAAGGTTTTTAAAGTTCTACCATATTTATTGAGGTTTTGCTAATGAATGCCATATGATCCTTTAAGTTTCATTTTCAAGATTCAAGATTTCTTTATTGTCGCTATACGAGTATAGTGAAATTTGAGCAATCCTAACAGTGCAGTCACATGTAACTTAAACATCTGTAATACAAAAAATAAATAAATAAAATAATAATAAATAAAGTAATAACAATAATAAAGCATATTATTACTACACAATACAAGACAGACAATACACAAGCCAATGCAAACAAGGCGATAGTGCAAAGTTAAGCCTTGTCTGCAATACAGTCAAACGGTATGCTGTTTAACAATACAATACAAAGACAGTACAAACAAGGCTATAGTGCAAATTTAAGCCTTATTAAATATCGTATTGCAGATTTGTGCATTTCTCAGTTATCTGTTTTTGTTTTTGTGTATGCCGGCAATGTTCAGCTCCCTTATGATGCTGGGGTAAAAGCTGTTCTTGAATCTATTGGTCCGCGCTTTAATGGACCTAAGATGCTTACCAGAGGGCAGCAGTTCTAACAGTTGATGTCCGGGATGGGAAGGATCCTTTAAAATGTTTTCTGCCCTTCTAAAGTTCTTTTAAGGAAGCCAGAGAGCAACCAATGGTTTTTTCATTTTAATAATCTGTTTTACTCATTTAGTTAACTTAGATGTTCACACAGACTTGCCATAATCTGCAATACTAACTAAATTGCAGATACAAAGAAGAATATATATATTTTAAATACCAAGAATTCATTTTTATATTTTGATAATTCTGTAACTTTTAATAATTGAAATACCCAATAAAAATGTTGTTATATCTGACACAAACATTAGTCACAGAGACAATTGTGAACCTTTGATGAAATATGCATCTTACTGTAATATGAATCTACAGGTATTGTCACATTTATCTTGTAGCTCTGATTGGCAGGTTTTATGACACAGTTATTCTATAATTATTGTTATATAGACAGAATTCTTCTATGTGTTGTTATAAGTGCATTTATTACATTGTAATAACATGATTAATAGTCATGTCAACACACACAAGCCCATGAGGAGTTTCAAAAGAGGGTTTATCTGAAGCCACAGCTGTTAAATATTGCATAAATACAAGGGGGGCCTCAGAAAGCATATGAGTTTCATTTCAGTCATTGAAAACAATAACATGCATCATTATGAATGGCATGGCGAGCAGAAAGAATGTGGTTATCATTAAAATTATTAAACACACAGATGAGTGTTCTCCAGAGGCCAGGATACACACATACACTCACACACACACATACACTCACACACACACATACACTCACACACACACGCACACACACACACACACACACAAGCCCATGAGGGGTTTCAAAAGAGGGTTTATCTGAAGCCACAGCTGTTAAATATTGCATAAATACAAGGGGGGCCTCAGAAAGCTTATGAGTTTCATTTCAGTCATTGAAAACAATAACATGCATCATTATGAATGGCATGGCGAGCAGAAAGAATGTGGTTATCATTAAAATTATTAAACACACAGATGAGTGTTCTCCAGAGGCCAGGATACACACATACACACACACACACACACACACACACACACACAAGCACACACATTGAGAGGAAAATTCTTTAGATGCTTCCTTTAAGTGTATTAGAGAGGCTTGCTGTTCTCATACTCACTGATATCATACACACTGCATTGATTACAGTGTTACGCAGTTAGATCAATGAAAACATCTTTATCACAGTCTAAAATCACTTCTACAAAACCTTTCCCCATTACAATACTTTTACATAACACATTTTTATGTGCTATTTAATTATATTTGCAATTAGGTTATCCTCTAAATGCATCTGATGTTCTGAAGCTAAACACATTGAAGGCAAAACTTTCCCCTGCTTTTACATTTGAGAGGTTTTTGCTGTTTTATTGGTAGTGAAAGTAGAGAAATTAATGGAAAAATAGGGAAAGGATAAGGTTTAGAAGCTCAGACATGTCATTGTGTGGATTCAAACCTGTATCTCCTGCATTAGCACCATACTTACAGGTAGCTCAATGTGTCTGAAGCACATGTACTAACCGCTAGGCCACATTTCAAACAACTTCTGATATTTCAAGCAGACATTTGTGCTAATTGTTTCTAATTATCCCAAACAACTCAAATCTGGGTCGTGTTCCCTAAGCTCACTGCTGACAAACGTATTTAAAACATAAATCAAGCCAAAACAAAACCATAATGACCCATTTAATGGAATAGTCAATAGAAAAAATCAAATATGGTGCCTACACTGAAAAAATGGTGTTGGATTTACTTTGAAT